GCCGAGTTCCGCCCGCTGCTAAACCTGCCCAGCGGCTGACTACAGGAAGCCCGAGGCAGAGTTGCTCTGCCCGGGGCTTCCTGGAATCAGCCGCTGATCAGTTTCAGCAGCAGCTGACTTGGGGACGCCTGGGTTTCTTAACTTACATATGGATTCAAGTCAGAACTGGCATCCAGATTCAGCTGCTGCTGAAACTGATCAGTTTCAACAGCGGCTGACGCCAGTTCCGACTTACATACAGATTCAACTTAAGAACAAACCTACAGTCCCTATCTTGTACGTAACCCGGGGACTGCCTGTACATTAAAAAAAAACAGATGCACAGTGTCTGGGACTAGGCGTGAGCCAGGACAGCTGATTCCCAGCTCGCACACAGTCCCACGCTGCGCCTCTTCCTTTTAAATGTATTAACAGCCTGGCAGCTCTTAATATATTTCCAAGGCAAAACCGCAGTGAGGTTAGCTCTGCAGTTTCCCCCCTTATCAACTAATTGAACAGTTGATGGAAATTCCATTGACTACTCAACGGATTAAACGCAATTTAACATCCCTAGTTAATGCTACTGACTACATGTATTCCCCTCCCCCTCTCCCCATGGCTCTGCCAGTAAATTTTTTAGAGGGCTGGCCAGCACATCCTGGGAGCTACCCCCACTGCAGCTCTGCAATACTTTCCTTGCAGAGCTGCAGCAGGGTAGCTCTCGAGACCGGTGTGAGCCAGGGCAGGCCCAGGCTGCTTGCCTGCCAGCTCCTAAAATACTTTTAATGCAGAGCCATAGCAGGGATAGTTGCAGACCCATCAGAAGCCAGGACTGATTGCTTGCAGTGCTAACCCTAACCCTTATTGACTAATTGTGTACTCAATTTTTTTGTCAACTACACAATTAACAAATTACATGCTTCTTAACATCCATAATACTAGAGATAGTGTAACCATATCAATTATTATTGGTTACATGACTATTCGACAGTACCCAAGGGTGGGGGCCTGCAGTCAGTGCCCTCCAGCCCCACACCTGGGGAGCCCCCTATCATTCCACGCTGCTGCCTCTGTAGCAGGGGAGGGGAGAGGCGGGAGAGAATCCGAGCTCCCCAGACAGAGGCCATGCCAGCATCCCACGGAGCAGCCTCTGTCTCCAGCAAGCCTGGGCCTGTTACGAACAGAGGCTGCTTCGCAGCAGCCTCCCCTGCCCTCCCGCCTCCATGGGTACTGTGGCACAGCAGATCTATGGAGGTGGTGGCACAGCAGATCTATGGAGCCTGGACATGAGAGGAGCCAGCTTAAAAGTTGGCTCCCCACACATATTGACTCCCCCACCCCACACTGCAGCCTGTGATAACTGCCTACATTTTTTTTTTTTTTTACATCTTAAAGTTACATACTTTGTACCATGAATAGCCATCAGTGGCTATCACCAGCATAGCTACATTAGGGAGTTATCCCAATGAAAGCAGGCAATATATACTAGTGTATAGGGATACTAGTGTAGCTTATCCATGCTGAAAAAAGTAAAGCACACAGCTGCAACTTGGCCTGTCTACACTAGATATTTACTCTGGCATAGCCCCTCCAATAATGCCCAAGGTTGAAATCCCTCCTGTGCACAATTGTAGTTTTACACTTCCTGAAGACTTCGAGGAGGTTTCAGTTTTCCCTATAACTCCAGTCTTACACCTATGTGAACTTTGAGCACTGGCAAGTGAATAAGATAAAGTAGCAGATTACTGGGTTATTTATCAAACGGATCATACAGGATCTGATCAGAAAGTGCCATTAAGTCTTAAAATTAGTCCAGAAAATCAGTTTAAGCTTTAATTCCCCATTGGAAGTCAGGTCCTTCAATTAATTCAATCTACTTTGTTAATACATACCCTGTTGCCCTATAAATTAAAGGTTTTATAAACTTTTACAACATTGTGTTCATTTTTCTGTTGAATTATTCAAGTTGATGTAAACAATAGTGTCTTGACTAAGGATCACTTTTAAGCAATCTTTGGGTAATAGATCAGCCATACCTAATTAAATATCTGCTTTCAAATAAACTGGATGGTTACATCAGCCTGCCCCTTTGTGGCCTACTAATTTCATCCCTTTTACATCAGTCTATTACACCCTCTTGGGTACAATTACCAACTTTTGTAATATCAACCTAGATATTGCATACAGTTCATTGTTCATTCACAGTGTTATTCAGACAGATTATACAAAGGGTTTTTTAATTGTCTGGAAATTACTGCAACTAAATTACCCCTGCAAACAAGTGCAATAGGTAGGTTGGCCTAAAAAAATTCAAGTTTCATGAAAGAATAAGTATATGAACCTTTATATATGTGCATCAAGTGTCTCTATTTTTATGGCTTGTTATAGGCTTTCTAAAGTATAATCCACAAAGAGAAAGTAAATATCTACTTGGAGTTCTCACACAGTGAGCTGATACTGAACTAAAAGTTACTACTATATAAAAACATTCCAGTTGTAATTTGCACGAGCTATTTTGTGTGTGTGTGTCTGTGTGCGCACTATTACTATACTATTTAGTTTTAAAACTAAAACCTTTCCAGTTATGGAATCTGATCTTTATCTGACACGTTGTCTATTATAAAGTGTTAGGTACACTTTCAACATTACATAGTGAACTTTGAACCAAACAGATGTTTCTAAAAAAGAAAGTCACATTTCAAAATTTTTAATTTTCATCACTGTTTCCACAAAAGAGAGAAAAGTCATTCAGTGTTAAATTTGTATTTGCTGTAATACAGCTAAATTTTTATAAATGCAGTTGTTTCATGTAAGTTCCAAATGATAGAGGGATTTTACAACAAAATCCCAGCAGAGCCAGGCTACTGACATACACACTTGTATCTCAAATGACTGTAGGGAAGTTCATCTACCCAGCAATTCACCAGTGCTTGTTCCAGGTCAGCTCACATGCTGTAAGTCGTTAAATAGCTATGTAAGGATTCAGGCTGAGATATGAGCCTGAGCTTTTGGATCCCTAGATGAGATACATCCCACAAGCTAAGAGTCAGCTGACAGGGATCAGACACAGGCCTACCTTTATTTTCATGTTGGCATACCATTAGGGTCTCTTTTTTGAGCTATGGTTCAGAAAAATATGAAGGCTAACAACCTAGATATTTCTTTAGAAAGTAGAGACAAGACTCTACCTAATTAGAGAGCATACAAATTTTCTATCCCAGTACCATGAATAGGTGGAGTCAATAACATCTACAGAAAACTACCAATTTCAGGCTGTCATCTCCCAGCAAGTTTGCTATTGTAAAAATGTTACTGGAAGGGGAACAAGAATAGAAAGTGTGCCTGTTCAGTGTCAGAATACAGAGAGAGCAAGGAAACCCTGTTTTAAAATGTTAAATACCGCAACTCAAGAGGATTATAGACAAAATTTTGCTAAATCACATCATACCATCACTGTTCCCATTATATCAAAAACTTGATGTATACTTAACAACTAGCATCTAAGCTTGCCCAAGGGAGGGAACCATCTCTTTGCTATGGATAAGTCCTGCCCAGCACTGACTTCAAAGAGCCAGGATTTTTCCTTGTGCCTTCACCTATTGTCCCTAAGCAATGGAGCCCTAATTCTGAGGTCCCCAAGCACTACAGTATAACCTCAAAGTTATAAACACCAGAATTACAAATTTACTGGTCTCCACACTCCTCATTTGAAACCAGAAGCCCACGATCAGTCATCAGCATAGACTAAAAAAGCATATGCAGTACAGTACTGCATTAAACATAAGCTGCTAACAAAATAAAGGGAAAGTTTAAAAAGATACGACAAGAAATATGTTTATGCTTGTTTCATTTAAAGTAAGACGATTAAAAGCAGCATTTTTCTTCTGCATAATAAAGTTTCAAAGCCATCATAAGCCCATATTCAGCTGTACACTTTTGAAAGAATATTTTGTTCACTTGCAAACTTTTCAGTTACAAAAAGCCTCTACTTCAGAGGTGTTCATAAATCTGAGGTTCTACTATGCCACAAGTACATCGTAACTACATTAAAATGTAATATACCTTTTTTCTCTTGGTTTTTGCATGTTTCTCTCCAAAAAGAATGCCATGCTGCACTGTGTCTGTGACCCCACAGTTATGGTTCTCCAGCAGCTGAACCTGACAGGTGAATAAGAGATTGCACTGAGAGTTGACAAAACCCAGCCCAGATGCTCCTTCTAAGTCATGCTTCCCTTTCTTTTTTGCAGTTTGAAATGGTGCCTTGAAATTGAAAGGGTTATAGGGATCATTTGAGTTACAGAATGAGTTCCAAAGTTTCAAGTTATCTTCCTCATCTGCACTATTACACTCCCATTCATCATCCTCTCCAGGACTGAGGGCAGGGGAGCCAGGAAGGCTTTCAGCCCATGAAGAATCCTCCTCTACATCTGACTCACCAGCCAGATCCTTCTCTGAATTATTAACAGCAGTCTGAATGGCAGCTGTAAAGTTCTGAGGGTTGTAAGGATCCAAACTGCAGAAGGAATTCCACAGGTGCAGGTTCTCACTATCCTGGCTACCAGAGTCTGAATCCAAGAGGGACCCCTCACTATCAAACCCATCATCATCATCATCCTCCTCCTCCTCCCAGTCTTCCTCACCCTCTGAGCTTTCCTCATCACTGGAAGTGCCTCTGATAATATAGTCTATGAGTTTGTTAGCACAGACAGGTCTAGATGACAGTGGCAAATCTTGCTGTATATCAGAATCCTCATCTTCAGCCAAGATGGTTCCTCCCTCAGCTGTCCCCTTTTCAGGGCTCCCTACTTCCAGTTGTAGGGGGCTGTCTCCAGCTTGCTCCACTATGCTGTGCTCGGGCAGTTCCTCAGAGCCTGTCGGCTGCCGGGCATCATCTTGGCAGTTACCCCTGTGTTGCTGTTCCTCCTCCAAGCTGTGGTAGCCGTGGTCTGACTCAGGTACGGGCAGGCAATTAGTCGCCAGCTGTTGCTGCTGGAGAAACTCCAGACGCTTGGTGCGGAGATGCTGGATTTCCGGGAGCCCCTCCCGGGGTGGGGGCCCCCGCCAGCCGTCCGCGGGGAGCTCGGCGCACAGCGGCTGGGGCAGATGGCTCTTGTCCGGGCAGCAGGCTTGGCCGTAGCCGGACCCCGGACTGCCGCCGGGGCCCAGCATGTAGGAGACCAGGTCCACTTGCCGGACGCTGAGCGGGGCCAGGCCGGTCCGCACCAGCCCAGCGGTCCACAGCGGCTGGGCGGGCTCCAGGCTACTCTTCCGCCCCATCTCCGGGACGTCGTCCGGCCAGTGCAGCTCCCCGTCGGCCCAACTCAGCGAGGCGGTGGCCTCGGACAGCAGCAGCAGAGGCGCGGCCTGAGGTCCCCCCGCGGGTGGCTCCCCGGGCGCGGGGCACAGGGCGCTGCTCAGCCCCTGGCCGGGCAGCAGGCGCTGGAGGAGGCCGGGCAGCGGGGAAAGCAGCTGCGAGAAGAGCCGCAGCCAGGAGAAGGGGGCGCTAAGCTGGGGCTGGGCCGCGACGGGAGGAGCCGGGGGGCAGGGGCCGAGCTTCAGCCAGGGGAGCCCGAGCCAGGAGCTGGCCTGGCCGAGCCCGGGGCTCGCCTGCTCCCTCTTCCTCGGCTCCATGGCGGGGGCTCCTCAGCGCTCCCTGCGGCCCGGCCGCTTCTCCGGCGCCGGGATCCAGCTGCTGCCTGCGGAAGCTCCGGTTCTCCTCGCGGCGTGGCGGCCTCCTCTCGGGCAGGGCTCCATAGTGCGGCGGGCCGGCGGTCCCCTCAGGCCAGCGACGGCACCATAGAGCCCAGCCCGGGGACCCGCTCCGGTCCGGCCGGCCGCCCCGACGCGGCGAGCAGAACAAAATGGCGCCGTCGCCGCGAGAGCGACAGTTAAACCGCCCACCCGGCGCGAGACCAACTCTGGCCTGAGAGGCGCGCGCTCGCGGCCAACTCCCATTGACCTGACAGGGCTCAGGCAGTGGCAGCGCAAAAGGGGGCGGGCCCGCCCCCCGCAACATCCGGGAAACTGTGTCACCGCCCCCAGGCGGTGATTGGCTCCCGCGGCACGACAACGCCCCCGCCCACCCGTGCCGCGGCACCGCCCGCTCCCTGCCGGAGAATTGCATCAGCCGAGGGGAAAGGGGGAAGAGCGCAGGCGCTACGCAGCCACCGCCCGTCACGCAGGAGGCCTTGCGGAGTCTGTTGCGCTGCAGCGCCCCCTATGGACGCCGTCTGGGAACTGCATCCCTATTGCTGTGTCGTCTCCAGCGCCTCCTGGCTCCGTCCCAGGGACTCCCTCCCCTCTACACTCCAGCTCCCTGTGGTTTTCCTGGGGGGCAGCTTTGCAAGCTGCCTGCTGCCCTGCAGCTTCCTGCACCTCTGCCTAGCTCCACAGCACCCACTTGCGTTGGGGGGGGGCAGCAGGGACATTGAGGCACTGCTGTGGCACTGATCATGCCTGTGCCCAGCCCAGCTTGGCTTCCCCTAGGCGGGCCCTGTCTTACCGGGGTGGGGTTCCCTGCCCTCTTGGGAACCCCACTCAAAAAGCATGGGTCAAGCAAGGTTACTTCCCCTGCAGCCAGTAATGGGGGCTGCAGGTAGCTGATGGTGTAGGCAGGGTCTCCCTAGACACACTCCCTGTGTGTTCTTCTGAGTCTGTTCTAGGTCCTTTGCTACCATCAGGGTCCCTGACCTTCATTCTGGCAGCTACCACTTTGGCTTACCCCTGTACTGCAGGGGCTTCTCCACCAGTAAGCATAGGAGGACATGCTAATTTGAGACTGGAGTTGTAGCAGTTAGATGTAATACTTCACAAAACGCCATCCATTTCTACGGGCCGCCTTATTGCTGCCACCCTGACAGATGTCTGGCAAACCTCATCTGCAATAGAGATCTAGTGTGTCGCTGTAGCTCTGCCGTAGAGAATATTGGAACATTGGCAGTGGCGCTAAACGTTGGTAAGAGTGGCTGCGTACTTGTCCAACATCTTGCAGTGGCCTTGTTCTCATGAAGAGGCAGCTATGCAGTCTGGGAAATGCTGTCTTAGAGTCTGGGGGACAGATTGGTAAACTGAATCTGGAAGAAAAGCAGTAACCATACTCCAGTCTGATTGCAGTGGAGCCAAATCTACATTGTGCCCTGCAATACATACTTTCCTGCTGGATTTGTTCCTAATTCATCTTACATTTTCCTTTTATTTATCCCACTTCTATTTACACCTTTTGTATCTTGGAATTTGCAGCTCCTCGCAGACATATGAGAACCTCCTACCCAAAGCCCTGTTCTGCAGTTTGGCTGAGCTATATTAATTTAGACTTTGTAGTCTTTTATCTTAAGTCTATTGACTCCTTTATTTTTAGACATGGATAAAAGGCACAGCACAACCATGAAATGAAAGTGTGGGGGGAAAAGCATCATGGGGACTGTGGCAAGTACTGTTATCAGCTGGCATAGGGTGAGGCTGCTCTGCAAACAGTGATAAGTGACTGGTAACCATATTTTATCAAAGGTCACACTCACCAACAGGAGGAGAGTGAGTAAGTTGCCAGAAGTCCACCCCACTCACTCATTTGCCCTTTAAGAACATAGCTGGTTAAAGGTAAAAGTGAAGAAATCTTGGAAAGGAGCAAATAAGTTACTGAAGCTTATATAATTGTCTGTTTGGTTTATCATAGCATACTAAGACTGGAACAGGGTGTCTTATGCAAAGCAGGAAATATTGTATACAAGGATAGATGGTGCAATGACACACCAGGAGACTGGTTACAAGGGGCAGAGGTTGCAGATATAAAAAGGCATTTTTTTAATAGAAAGAAAGATAGTGACACTGAGATGTCTCCGAGCACGAGGAAGAAATCGGAAGCTAGAAACTGATTGGGTCCATGGAGATCTTTTTCACACGAGAAGATATGCAGTAGAAACGACAAATGGTTATCAGAGACTTAAGGATGAACATAGACTAATTAAAAGTAGTAATGTCCAATTCTTAGCTGGCACTTTTCAGCAGTAGATTGTGTTTTACAAAGGCTATCAGTATTGTTCCCATTTTACAGATGGGAAAACTGAGGCACATAGCAGTTAAATGATTTGCCTATGGACAGTCAGTGGGCCAGCTCTCTCTAGTCACAAGGCCACTGATTAAAACAGGGGACTGGATATTAGAATCACTGAGCACTGTTCACCACTACTAATTGTGCTTGCACCATCTTCTGAGGTCCAGTGTAGTCAGCAGTTGACTGCATGTGTGTTCTCTCTGCATGCTGCACTAGATCACACCAGATAGCCCATATGGCAGGCTCCAGTAAAACTGCCCCAAAGATCACAGACTCGATAAAGGCTCTTGAATATTGTAGGATTTCAACTAACTCTGCCTCAGTTTCCCTATTTATAAAACAAAGGACCATACGGATGGCCTTTGTAAAACACAATCTATAGCTTAGGCATGTTATAAAGCTGTAGTTCCACAGGTGAAAGGTCGTGGAAGTTAGTTCTTATTAGCTCCTCTTTTTAAGCTTCTGGTGCATTTTCAAGGACAGAGCTGACACTACTCAAACGGAATATAGAGTACATGCACCAAGGGAGAGACTGCTCTGCTACCCCTCTGGAAAGAATAATCTCTTTGTTCATCCTCACATAAACACAAAGTTATATTTATATATATACATATTACTGTAATTTGTCCAGTAAAACTCATGCTCCCTGAGATGACGTTTAATTTTTGTCAGAGTGCAAACCAAACAACAGGCAAAGTCCAAAGCTGACACAAAGTACAGGTGGCCAGGAAACAGCCAGTTAGTTTCCTTATTCTCAAATACTATCAGTGAATATCCAGAGCATTAATAATTCTAGTTCATCAGCTGTAGTGTGGGGAGTTGCTAATGTTGAGCAGGGTGTTCACTGAAACTGTACCTGGTAATTAAGAAATTCTACCTTTCAAAATATTCATTCACTAAAGATGAGGCCTTCTGTCACACCAAAGCCAGCATTTAGCTATCTGTAGAGTGGAGAACATCAGTAACCCAGAATCATTGTTTCTTAGCTGGCGGGGGAGAAAGAGACACCCAATTAAACTATTACACTAACATTGTATTCTCTATTTGCTTGGCTTCTTTCAGATCTTCATCTAAGAGCATGCTTCATAATCCACATTGCTGTGTGTTACTCTCCATTTAAACATAGCAATAACCTGTCCAGGTCTTAGATTTAGCCTAAGGTACATGATTAATGTAAACCTTGGCTTTTTTTTTCCAGGCTACCAGACAAATGAAGGTTTAAGGGAGACAGATAGTTTGTGTGAAAGAACATCAGGCCTTGAGCTTCTAAGGTTAATTTACTGTCTTGCTTCCCTCAAAAGGTTAAATCCTTTTGCCACCTCATGCAGTTCACACACTTGCCAGGTACTGTAGCATGCATTCTGCACTGGCATAATAGGACCAGCCAGCTGGTTCCTCTGCATTCCAATTATGTGTGGGAATGCGCTGTAGCTATGAGTGATGAAGAGTTGTAGTTGCAGGTGGTAGTTTTAAGAACCAGGTATGGTATGTTTATAAGGTGGGGTTGCTATAGCAACAGCATTACAGAATAAGAAAGCTGCCTGAGTAAGTGCAGAGGCCTGTGTTGGCCTTTTGCATTCATCCAGCCCATTTCATAGGGATGGGATAGTGTGAGTGAATGCCCAGCTCTAAGGGTATGTCCAGACTACATGCCTCTGGCGACAGTGGAATGTAGATTAGGCTACCCGGCATAGGCAAACAAGCAGGGATTTAAATAATCCCCGCTTCATTAAAATAAACCCGGCCGCCATTCTGTGCCGACAATCAGCTGATCCGGCACAGCACGGTAGTCTAGACGTGGCTCAGTCAGCTGGAGAAGCCTTTGCCGACCTGCAAGGATTCTAGGGCTACGTCACGAGGCATACCAGAGCGGTTGACAAAGGCTTCCTTTGTCAACCACGCCGCGTCTAGACTGCCGCGCCGTGCCAGATCAGCTGATCGTCAGCACAGCACGGCGGCCATGTTTATTTTAATGAAGCGGGGATTATTTAAATCCCCGCTTCTTTGCCTATGCCGGGTAGCCTAATTACATGCCTCTATCGCCAGAGGCATGTAGTCTAGACATACCCTAAGTGAGAACGTTTTGTTCCTTCCACCTCTACTCCGTATCCTACCTATGGTTTTCATCTTCTCTTGTAGTATGGTTTCTTCAGAAACATTTTATAGTTTGATTTAGTGCTAGTGAGCACTGGCTTGACAACTAGAGGGACTGGAGTCCTCTATGAAAGAGCAAACTGCCATAGGGCAAGATCTCCGCTCTAGGCCCCCTCAGAACACCTCAGCCCTGACTTAGAGGGATGAAATTCAGTTCCTGGCCTCATTGCTGAGAATGCAAGCAAGAGAGCCTCTACAACAATGGCAGTTTTGCAATAAAGACATCTCCCTACCAGACAGTGGCTTGAGACCCACCCAAATCCTCTCACAAAGGAAAGGAAGTAGGCAGCAATTGGTCTCTAGTTCCACTCACAATTGACATTGTTAGATTTTGATGTCACAGAGGCAAAAAGGCACCAACTCTCATTCCCATTCTCGAGCACATCCCAGAAGCACAGAGATATCTGTCTGTTCTTATCCGGGCGGCAGCCATTGTCTCACCAAGCAGCAGCTTTACCGGTTTGATTGGGGAATGCAGAAATTGCAGCCCAAGCAGCAGATCCACTCTTGTGACACTGGCCTTGGGGATTCACGACGGCACAGATTCTTCCCTTGCATTTCATTTCCTTTTATTTTATTTTAATGCCACCATTTTACAACTGAGCGAGATACAGGTATCTAAAAAAGGTGCCTCTCCAGGAGTCCGAACTACATCCCGACACAGAGTCATAGGGGGTAGAGCGTTGACTGAAGAACTTGGCTAAGTTTGAAAACATTTCCTGAGTGCACCTCTCTCAAACCCACCTGCGGGCAGGTTCAGAGATGCCACTCTTCGATGCACCTGCAACTAATGGACGGCATGTCAGGGAGGAGGGAATCCATTCCTCACGCCCAGCTTATTAAAACCCAGTCACCTACTAGATACAATATTTAAAACTTTTAATATAAAGGTAAGTTCATATTCTCGATCCTGAGAAACATTTTGTCTGTTTACGGAGTTCTCACTGTAAACAAAGCACCACTGAAACTTTGGGGGGGGGGGGGAAGAGGAGGAAAAAAAGGAGGAAGACAGCTTCTTGGAGAGTGGGGGGTAATCATCTCTGCATCTCTTGATCTCTGCAGTTTAGGGCAATGCTATCATCCTGCCTGCCCTGTGGACAGAGCCCTCAATCCTGCTCTCCCTTGTTTGACGCCAAGTGGAAATTGGCATCTTTAAAATAATTTTTCAAAGGGGAAATTGACTCTTTAAAAACGAAAAAAGGTATTTCCTTTCCCCTCCACATGGATGTACACAACTGGAAAGTAACAAAAACAAACAAAAAATCCTATCTTCTGCAAATGTTTCTCCCCAGTAGGCTGATGAGAGGAAGAGCATAGTCCCTCTGCTCTTTGCATGACCACCAATGGCTCCTGCTCCCCCACATACCCAGAGTGGAGAAGTCTCAGTAGAAATGACATCGGGATTCAATTCCAGCTCAATTCTTTAGCTTGTCAGTGAGCAAGCCCAGCCCTTCCACAGGGGCAGACTGACATTCCACAAGCTCCCCCCCATTTGGTACCAGAGGGTGGAACACCGAGTGACCAGCTCTTGCATGTGGAATCTCAAGCTCTAAGGAGAAATTTCTAGAAATCGCCCGAAAGATGGATATGATCATCTCCTGCTTTTGAGATTTGACTGCCCCTCCTTCTAAGGCTTAGCTCAGCCCCCTCACATGGTCTCTGCGGCTGCTTCTCTTTTGCGACAACTCAATCCAGTGAGCAGGAGAGGGGGGAGAAAGAAAAAAAAAACAATCTAAGGACAGTGAAGTATGGTAAAAATCGTGCTTCTAAATACCGAACATTGCCACAAGGCCAGAGTCCCAGGCCTTGGGGAGTTAGGGAGAGCACAGCTGGAAGCAAAGTGAATACTGCTGGAATTTTCCCAGGTGGAAGGGGAGATAACCCACCTGGCAGTCATTCCCCGGGAACACGATTCACACACTCAAAAGCCCTCTGGCAGGAATCCAGAACAGAAGGCTCTACACACGTACAAATTATACAGCTCTCCTTTGGAAGCAAATTCTCTGAGATGGACAGAGGAGGCAGCTTGGATCCTAGCACATTCCCTCCTAACCTAGAGACAAGGAGGGTATTATCCACGGCTCATGCCCCCCCTTCCCAAGAAGTTCCTATGGAAACAAACTCTCTAGGGAAAGTCCAATAAGAATCATACTGATGATGTATCTCTCCTCCCTCCCTACCCACAAGTCTCTTCTCATCAAGGCCTCATGTCCCATCTGGACACAAATTACTTTTCATTATTTTTTAAAAATAAAAATCTCAAAAGAAATAAAAAGTATCCCCGTTATTCCCCTTCCCTCCCTCATTGTTGCTCCCTTGACACAAGGTAAACTTAAAAAAAAAATTCTACTGCAGCCTTTTCAAGTCACAATAGGATTTCCTATTGTGATGCTGAGTTCCTGGTCTCTACAGGGAGAAATGGAAACCCCTCCCCCCAGCTTCCCAAATGAACTTCTTGATCCACAGAGAGCACGCTCTTCTGGCTCCCACTTGCAGACAACAAAATCCATCTGGATCCAGGATACAACTCCTGGGACTCGCACCCATTCTCACGGCCCCGCAGGGCTGGTGTGGTTCCAAAAACGTCACCGCCACTGGCTGCTCTCCTCACATGGTCCCTTGGCTCCTGGAGCCCAGCTCAAACCAGCCCATTTTCTCTTGGGTCAGGTCCAGATCCCGGAGCTTAATGCAGACCTCCCCAAGCAGGATGTTCTCCCAGAAGCTTTCCTCGCTGAGGATGCTCAGGCGTAGTTCCCGCTGCTGAAGGTCTCCTTTGGGAATCCCGTCATAGACGAGCTGCAAGACAGAGAATGGGGAAGGCCCTTATGGGTCAGAAGGCAGCCCGGAGAAGGAAGCTGTCTGTTACAGAATGGGAGAATCTGTACTGAGGTCTCATTTCTGTGCCTCAGACACACTCCGGAGCAGTGGAGGGCAACCCGTGGTCTGAGGGCCACATGCAGCCCATCGGGGTTCTACATGTGGCCCACAAGACATTTTTGTTCACCGTTGCCCATGCGCAAGGTTGCCGGATTCTACTGTCTGCGTCATTTATTTCCTACCTGAATTACTAAAGTAACATTTACGTCAAGACAGCGCACACGCAGTGAGGTGCGTGCTGATTGCACACAACACTGATGGTGAGGGCCTGTGTGCTCCCTCCACAGCCAATCAAAGCGCTACCCCACCAATTCTAGGCACATTTAGTAAAACTACTCTATCACGGGGGGCTGTCTTGGTTACGACAATCTTGCCGCTCATGGAGCGGAAGGAGGGCCACTCATGCGGCCCCCTCACTAGCCTCGGTTGACCATTGCTGCTCTGGAGGGAGAATAGAGTTTAGTCTCCATGAGCCATTCAGTGATTGGCCTCTAAACTGGTCTGAGAGGTCAGCTCATTGGGGAAGTTGCCGAACGTTCCTCAGACAGCAGAGATACTTGGTCCAACCAGACTCAAGCAATCCAGCTAGTGCC